TAAGAGAGGGTAACAAGTTTCCTAAAGTGAAATGAATATGGGGGGGAATAGAAGACGAGTGATACTAATCCCTAACCTAAATGAGAGGATGCTTTACTGATAAATCTTGGCACTGTCAAAAGAACTATTCCAGACACTCATACTTGACTGGAGTACACAAAATCAACTCTGTGCTACTAAGTTCCTCTCCCCAGTTTTTAATCGCCTTACCCATCCTCTTTTCCGTAAATTTACATAGACGCTGATAGCTCTTTGTCCCCTGCCGTGGAGCCACAGCTCTTCAGGTATGTCCATCCTTACCTTCTCTGCCCAACCACTTGGTAAAATCCGTCAGCGTCTCCCACTGAGTGGCATTCATGTGGATGTGCTCTCGGTGGCTGATGTACTCATTGTAAACAATATTGTTGTGAACTCTTTTGGTGCCTAAGAACAAAACAGGACACTGTTGACCCTGAGCAGGTTATAAGGTTAGGAAGTTATTATGTGCACAATACTTAAGATGCTCACCAAAGCGTCTCCTGAGAAGTTCTAGAAAGTCATTGCGGAATTCCCTAGTAGAGAAAGAAAGGAAAGCATGAAGGTAATTTCTACAAACGTATGGCATTATCTTCCTGAAATTTAAGCCATCGTACAGTTTGAATTCTCAAATGACATATGAGACATCTATGTGAACATCTGTTATGAATCTTTACAAATGGAACAAGGAAAGAATCCCAAAAGATTATAGCTTTCAAGAATTAAAGTCAAAAGTCAGTATGGAGTCAAAACTTTTTGTCTTGGCAAAACAGTCATAGCAAAAGTGACAATACGTCTTTCGAGACGGTCCTTCATGAAGTCTCTTAGCTCTACTGACCGTGGCATAATAACTGCATTCTATTGATGATACCAAAACTGCCCTTATTCCACAAGAAACTGGCATTCAATATATCTCTCTGAACAGTGTTAAGTGCTAGATAAACAATAGGTGAATAAAAACATAAATCTTGACCTAGGTTACAATCTAGCAGAACCAATCATAACAGAAGTCAAATTGGAAAAGAGATGTAACAAACATCATAGAAAGAATTGCAGGAGGTGTCCGGAGGTGCCCGGAGGTGATATTTAATATGGGTGGTACAGTATACACAGGACTTTTACAGGTGAGGAGGAAGAGAAGCCCATTCCCAGCTGGTAGAGACAGGAAAGTGTCACAGGTTTGAGGGATGACAATCAATTTGGCTAATGTTGAGGGCAGATAAAAATGAGTGCGAGAGAGCAGGCAGAATAGAAAAACTGGGAGAAGACAGCTGGGAAATAACGTTATGGCTAACCTTTGAAGTAAATACCTTGAAGTTCATGCTCAAGAGGTTGGGTTTTATGCAGATGATGGAAAAGCATGAAATAATTTATTTAGGAGTTAATTCGGGGAAGTCTGTGATTTCCAGAAATAATGCTGGTGGACAGTATACAAGGATAATTCTCAGAGTGTGGTCCCCAGAGCAGCAGCATGGACATCACCCGGGAACTTGACAGAGAGATACAAAGTCCACAGCCCCCACCCAAGGTCAAGTGAATCAGAAAGTGGGCGCGGTGTCTGCCTGCTGTCTTCACAGCCCTCAAGATGAGGCCTCAAGGTGATTGTGCTGCTTGCAGTGGTTTGTGACCGCGGGCACAGAACTTGCACAGGAGTAGAAGCGGCAGGTCAGGACGCCAGTGAGGAAGCCACTGAATCTTTTAGATGGAGACGATGAGAGAACGGAAAGGGTATAAGTTTATAGGGCACTGTAGAGGAGAACTCACATCAGGGAATTCCTGGAGGGCTCTGAGCATAGCAGTTTGGCGAGGCAGTGATTAGCCAGAGCAGGATAACCAGCAGGTGTGGTGGACAGAATGCTAAGTTCAGCTTTAGAAATGTTGACGCTGAGATAGTCTTCAGGAATATAGCTTAGAATTATCCAGAAAAAAAAAAGTCTATAACTCAAGACAGATGTTGGGAGTGAACAACCAGATTTAGGAGTTTACGTTTATCCAAACATAAAGGTAACGGAGGAATAACGTAACTCAGGGAGACTGTGCAGAGTGGGATGAAGGAAGCCACACAGGCACCCGGAAGGACGTTCCTACATTTGAGGAGCTGGGAACGGAAGAGGCGTTAACGCAGGAAGTGAGCTCAGAGGGAGTGGCAGGAGGGAAACCAGAAAGAATGTAAGTCAGAGAGGTGTTTCAATTGAGAGTAAGAGCATTACCCACTGAAGAAAGACCAGGAGAGAGAAGGATGAGGAAAAGCCCCGATGCTTCGGGAGGCTGACGTCAACTACAGTGGACGGAGGCGTGAATGGGAGGTGGCCAGGAAGGCACTGAGTATAGATGGCTCTTGCCAGAATGCCTGGTATTTCCCAAAGTGTGCCATTTGTACCGTGGTGGTATTCAAGATGGTTTTAGGTGGTTCACTGATAAGTAATTTTTGCCTGTGTTATCTGCCTTGATGTCACAAAAGCCATGGAGGGTCCACCTGCTGGCCTCTTAGCCAAGTCACGTCAGTGGGCAGTGATGCCAAGCCACCAGCAGTCAATGTATTCTTCACGGCCAGGCACTCACAGTGAAAACCAATGCGAGCTGCATCGGGAATGTCCTTGATGAAGCACCAAGTACTATTACTTGCATGAAAGCTCAACCTTTGAGTACACACATCTTTCTAATATTCTGTGCGATGAAACGAGATTATGAATAAAGCACTTCTGCTGCTATAGGATGGTTATCTTTAGGAAAAGCACCTGTGTGATCGTTGGCACTGTGAGTTGAACCTTTTTCACGGAATACCATCTTCACTTGAAAGAATGACTGACATAAACTATGGTTATTCTCAATTGGATATTCTGTAGAAACTTTCTTTAAAATATACAAAGTGAGACTGTCATGTCGAGGAAAACAACTTACAGTAGTTGTTGCCAATGACAAAATTTGAGCTTTAAAGAAAAAAATCTGAATTTTGATAAACTAATATCCACCACCATGACTTTGACATGCTTCCAAATACTGGTTTCTGATGACACTGATGTTGATATTAATGAAAATGATTTTATGATATTGCATAATAAAATGTATCACCATTCGGAAGATCTGTATACCTCAGTTAACCAATATTTTCCAAAAGTTCAAAGTGAAAGATCAATGTACTTTAATGTAAGAGAATACAAAAAGTTCACTGACAGGGTTTCAAATTCCACACTGCAACTAATCTTTAAGGAATTACTACGTGTTGTGTTGTGATGTAATATCAAAGTGGAGTATTCAGAATTATCTGAAAAGGCTACTAAGTACTCTCCCCACTTTCCAACTACACCTCTATGTAAAGGCTTGACTTTTTTTATGTGCTTCAGCCAAAACATTCTGAAATAGAATAAATGCAGAAGCAGATGTGAAAATCAATTAAGTCAGACATTGAAGAGATTTGCAAAAATGTAAAGCAATGCTACTTTTATCACTAAGTTTTTTTTGTTTTGGAAAATAGTTATTTTTCATTAAAATGTTATTTACTTTAACATGTAATATGTTTATTATTTTTAATGAATTAATATTTTTCAAAAATTTATCAATTTTAATCTACAAGTATCAATAGACATAACCCACTAAATAAAAGCTCTTGGGAATCTTCAATAATTTTTAAGAATGTAAAAGGTCCTAAGACCAAAAGGTCTAGAACATTGGAAAGAGATGGATAGAAGCAAGATTAAGTATTAATAGGAATAATAATAATTAACAGCTAATATTGAGTATTGGACATTCCTCTAAACACTTTAAAAGCATTAATTCATTTCATCATCATATAAGTCCTATGCAGGAAATATAATACTTAGTATTTTTAGTCCCACTTTACAGGTAAGGAGAGTAAAGCACAGAAAAACAGTGGGGAAGCCAAGATTTGAAGGATTTAAAGTCAGGCTGACTCCAGTGCTGTGCTCTTAGCCACACTTGTAGAATGAAAGACAGTATCCTTTGTCTAAAGTGAAAAAAAAGAAAGGCTGAATTTGGAGAAACTTTTTTTCTTAACAATTTCATACTATGAGAAATTGTCAAAGGGAGACAAAAACTGAGCACAGAGATAATATAGCTATCATGTTAACATGTAAGAAATAAACAGAACCTTCAAGATATAAAACAGTAAGCATCTATTAAATGTCCAACTGAATAAACCTTATAAGATAAGGATGTCTTTGAATTACTTACTCTGAAAAGTAATCCATAAACTGCTGAGGATTTTCTGAAGCCAGCAATAGTTGTCTCTGATGAGATTCGGACATACAATGACACTTAAAGCCATTCTACAAAAAACGTAAAGGTAGTAGTTAAATTCTGACTTAGGTCATCACAATGGGCCCTGAGTAGAAGTATTTAGTTAAACCCTAAAAAGCTGCTCTTTGATGATAAATTATAAAAAAATAATCAAATCACTAGCTATAAGCACCCTATCATTTAAAAAAAATTTTTTTTATCAAGTTGAGTTTATCATCCTTGATAATCAAAGGCTAATCCCCCTGGGATTAAGGAGAGAGAAAAACAGTGCTTTAGAAAACAGACATTAGTAAGAAACATTACTGGGCACAGTAGCAGAGGAGTGACTTTGTTTTTGTTTTTTGTTTTTGACTAAATTTAACAAATTCCTATTGAGCACCTACTTTGTATAGTGTATGCAAGCATTTCGAGGGCTATAATGAAGTAAAATAGGTCATTAGTGAATTTCCATTAAGGAAACCATCTTTCACTCACTCTCCTTTCCTTTACCTCATTATCCAAAATACATTAATGTTTTTTGAATAATTTTTTTACTAGTTTCAACATAATTAGACATTTACACCCCTCACAGCGTGATAGTGATAACCCCCCTTCAAGTCTACTACCCCAAAATACATTATTGTGTTATTACAGAAACCTTATGTTAAACATACTAAATCTGTATTTTCTTCAGATTGTTAAAAACATACAAGTTTTGAAACATATAAGTTTTGACTTTGTATCTGTTTTACTTACCATTTGAACCTGGTTCTTCACTAGTAATAAAAATGAAAAACGTGCCTCTCCTGACCGCACCACCTCAGTGAACAGCGCTATCCCACCCCCAATCACCCAAGCCAGGACGGGGATGGCATCCTAGAGTCTCTCCTTTATCCTACTTTCCACTCATTACTAAGTCTACTCAGCCTTCTTCGTAACTCTTACCCAGTCCCTCTGCTCAGTCCCATTGCCACTGTCCCGGTTTCAACACTGCATCTTGCTTAGGGTACTTTCCTAATCTTTAGTCATCCACAGACCACCTACACAATTCTTGCTCACCTGTGTGTTTCTCTTACTTAAATGTATCTTAAAAGGAAACTTAGTGTCCGTCTCATCAATGAAAAACCAGGCCCATTTCCCCCAAATTAAAAATAAATCAATAAAATGGAAACAAAATAATGTTATTAAATCCTAGAAACTCAAGGCAGGAGGGGAATACTCTAGATCTGACCTTCCTCCCCCTCAATCTTCCAATATTGAGAGGCAGAAGACAGAGGAGGGAACTTATAGGGGTCAACTTCTCATCCCCCAGGCTGTCCTCCCAGGTCGTGAAGGGCAATGAACAGATCTGGGGTCAAAGAGGCCAGAACCACCACAAATGCCTTAAAGAGCAGCGTTAAGCGTTTATTTGCCCCTTCCCATAGGAACTGTATTTCAGGATGTCATTTGAGGATAACCCCAAACTAGCTGACGAGAAGAAGCTCATTCTTACAAATAATTGACACCCAATACAAAATGCAGAAAGAATTAGAAAAATAACCACTTTGCAGCTCCTAATGAAATAACTGACCCAGGCAAAGTTGCTAAAACACACATAGGTAAATGTTGATGGGAAAGTAGATATATGTTCATGATTCCAAAGAATAACTGCACTAGTTACTTGCTCTTGCAAGAGAGAAAATATTACTTCCTAACATTACAGGCTGTCACCTTTACTCAATCACCTTAGCACTACAAGACAAATGGGCTCCCTTACATGATGCAATATGAAATACACTGGATCACCTATGAAGGATTCTTCCCCAAAATGTTTAACCTGAACCTAATCAAGCCTTTAGATCTAAGTTCCGGTTTACAGAAACTACAAGAGTTAGAGAAAGAAGGCAAAAAACAATCACAAAGAAACAATTCAACATATCCAGAAAGCGGGAATACTCCAGGATAAGAGACTGACCTAGTCTCTTAAGACAATGTCAAGAAACAAGTTGGAGTGTGTTCTATTCTAAATTCAGAATTTAGAGAGAATTAAAAGTCCTAATAACCTGGAGCACAGAGACTTTTAGGACAGTGAAACTACTTTGTATTATATTATAATGGTGGATACATGTCATTAAATATTTGTCCAAACCCACAGAATGTACAAATAATACCAAGAGTGACCCTAATGTAAACTATGGACTTTGGTGACAATGATGTGTCAATGTAACTTCACTGACTGTAACAAATGTACAGGAGCTGTACATATATGAGGGCAGGGTATATATGGGAAATTTCTGTACCTTCCACTCATTTTTGCAATGAATCTAAAACTTCTCAAAAAAATAAAGTCTATTTTTTTAAAAAGCCTTAATAACCAAATCCAATTCATAGCTTTAGACTGGATTTTAGTTTAAAAAAAAAAAACTGCTTTGAAAAGCATTTGGGGGAACAAGTGAGGAAACGTGAGTATAGAATGTGTATTAGATGACATAAAGGAATTTTAATTTTGTTATGGGTGATGACATATATTATGGCTGTGTAAAAGAAAATCCTGATATTTTAGAAATGCATATTTAAATATACTGCTGTTAATAATTTAAACTATTTTTTAATGAGTAAATACGGCAAAATACTTAAAATGTTACATCTGGGTAATAGATATATGGATGTTCATTGTACCAGACTCTATTTTTCTGTGTGAGAATTTCGCCTTAACTTAAATGGAAAGAACTAAAGAGAAATGAAAGAGAATAACCATATCAATGTTATTCAATATGAGTCACACCTAAACATCTCATCCCTCTCTTGCAGAAACAGCAGATGAGATTATATCAATTGGCCAGCGTTCTTCTGTCCTTACCAATTCGATCTCCAGAAAAAATACGATCACATCACTAGTCTACTCTCCATCACCCACCTCATAATGGGAAACAGTGTAAACTCCATAGCAAGGCATACAAAGCTTTTCAAGATCTGCCCAAAGACCGCGACTCACTTTACACATAATTCATTTAAAACTCACAACCATCTTACAAGTAGGTACAGTTACTGTTTCCACTTTACAGATAAGTAAACAGGCAGAGAGAACGTAACTTGCCGAAGACCATACAGCTAGGAAGTGGTGCGTCTAAGCTTTCTAATTCTGACAGTCTTGACTCGAGTCCACATCTTAACAATAATATCCTGGCCTTGGCACATAGCAGGTTCTCAAAATATGACTGTTAGATGAGCAGTGGACAAGAGCTTATTTCTCCTTTTTCATCTGATCCCGAAAAGAGGTGTGAATCCTAAGCATCCTGTTTCTCCTAAGAGGCACGTCATGTCAGATATGGTTATTGTTATTGCCCAGGCGCCCAAGCGTTCAACTATTCAGGCCTCCGTTTTAGGACAGTTTGGGTAGGATCACTTCTACAAGAGCTGCAAAACCTTTTCTTACTCGTCTTTCTTTTCTTTGGGAGTCAGACTGAGGAAGAAAGAGGCGTCAAAGAGAACTGATTGGTTCCCCACTAGGACGGGGGCTGCAGGAAGGGATGTCCCTCCGAGTTGAATAGCTGACTCGCCCAGTGTAGACCCCATAACTAGGGACCTGAGACCCAGGCCTTCACCTCCAGCGTCAGCAACTTGAGCCAGGATTTCCAGCCGGACCCGCCAGGGGAGAGGCCGGGGCATGGGCCATCCCGGGCCGCCTTACCTCATCCCGGCACTGCTTCTGGCACATCTGGCAATACCAGCGCAGCTTCTGAAGCCCTTTGGATTTGATTCTGTTGGCGATGGCCTTAGGGGTAAGGAAATCTGACTTCCCCATCGCGACCACCGCGGCGATTACTTTTTGGAACCCAGTGCCCTGCCAACCGGAAGCGGAACCGGGCAGACAGTGGTGGGCGGGACAAAACAGCAGCCGCGAGCCGGAAGGAGGTGGGGCCTCGGAAGGCTGAACCCGCCCCCTCCAAAGCTCGCGAGGTTTACCTCAGCCTGGCGGCTGGAAGCAAGACTGAAAAAGAAAGCCGGTTGGGAGGGGGAGTGGGGAATGTCCTGCGCATGCGCGGTGCGGCCTGCCTGACCGACCTTCATCTCGGGCCAGTACCACCATGTTTTCTCGGGCGGGCGTCGTTGGGGTCTCGGCCTGGGCCGTGCAGCCGCAATGGTATGGCCGCTTGCGGTAGGAACGGGAGAGGTGCGAGGGATAGAAGAGTTCGGTGAGGGGAAGAGGAAGCGGGTGGAAGTGAGAGGGACGGAACAGTGGTTGCAGGGCCTGCCAGGCCCCCTGTCCCGCGGAGGCCCCGGGAAGCTCGGGCTGCAGCAAGTGCCTCCGATCCGGGAAGAGCGCGCGAAGGGACTGGAGCGACCGCAAGGTCACGCCGCGTCTCCTGAGGCGGGGTGGGGCGGGGTGAGGGTCACGAGGAGTGGTCATCTTGGACCTCGGTATTGAGACCTTAAGTCTGAATTAATTTCAGGGCGGTCTTGGATTCATTCAGCTAATAAGGACTTGCGGAGCTGCTGCTGGGTGCCAGGCAGCGAGTATCTTGCAGTCGTTACCAGGGCCCACAAAGTAAGGGGGAGGGGAGGACCCAAGGCAAGGTCTAGGGGAAGGTTAAGTTGTACTGTGTGTCCTTGACGCCTTTGGAAATCCTCCAGGGCTGGCAGAGTTTGCAGGGGCCAGTGCAGAGCGGAGTAACCCTTGAAGAGCTGTTCCATTCGGCCAGAACGTTTATTAAGCACCTACCATGTGTTTAAGCGTTGCTGGGCACTGGTGAATCAAATAAGTGCCGTCGTGGGCTGATGGTAGTTTAGGTGCAAAAGGGACCTTAAAAATCTGTCAGTTGGCGAGGAAGGGAATGACACCTAGCACTACCTTGAAACCATTACGCCGAAGCAGTAACCCTGCAAGGTCATAAAATTGTCCCAAGGTCCTGAAGGGGAAGAGGAGATAGAGCTAAGTGTCACCTGTCCACTGCCATGCAAGTTTTAAGGATTTTGAACATTGGTTCCCGAAAAAAGTTGCGTATTGGAATAGCTATTTAGATTAAACTTGGTTTGTGGTGGTACCATATAATAGGATGAAATATCTTGAGGCTAGACAAGAATGTGGGAGAATTTCAGACACAGTGTTAAGGGGATTATTAGCTGTGATCTGTGTAGCAATTCCCTGCTTTTACAGTAGGGGAGAATTCTAAGATGCTACAAAAACTAGATTTTTGTATCCTGATTTATGTAAAGAAACTTTAAGGCATTCATTGAAATAAGTATGGTTTTCATTAAGCAAAGAATTTATAACAGACAAGATTTTCAGGGTAATAAGGTAATTGTGATGTGAAATAGCTACATAAAAATGTTGGTGAATTGCCTTGGAAGTCAGATTTTTTTTTCTAATATTAAAAAAAGGATTCATGGGAATTAAGTCACCATAAGTGGACTTCGGTTGTGCAGGTTGTGCCATTTGTTCATCACTCAGCAGACATTTGACAGTTGTTAGGTGCCTATGCTGCACCACATTGGCACTGTGGCAAGTGCTGAAACGTGGTGGTAAACAGGCAGACATGGTCTTGCTTCGTGGGACCGTTCATGGATGCTGTGATGCTCAGCAATCAGCTCTCCTTTCCTTCCCATCTTGCGGTGCATTAATGTTAATAGTCATTATTTTTAGAGCCTTAAAGTGCTATCCAAGTTGATCTTTAAAAAATGCAGAGTTCCTGAAACAAGGACTAGCTATTTTACGTAAAACCGTAGGAATAACTTCTTTTAAAACCCTGTAAGACAATTTGAAGATCTTTTAATAAAGACTTGTTTTAAATAAGAGCTCTCTCGGTCTGTGACAACTACTGCCAGAGCCCTAAATTGGAACCTCAGTCAGCAAATAAAGGTCATACTCCTCATCTTCATCCCTTTGGAGTGTAGGTTTTAAATTGGTAGGTTATGAATATTCATCAGACATCAGTGTTTCTCTATGGAAAGTATATTCTGTCCCCTTTTCACATTTTCCATCACTCTGGATGCCTGATGTCTTTCCTGCCTCTGCCACCCCTTCACTTCCCATTTATTATAATTGCTTTTTAAACCCAGAAATGAAAACCATATTAATCTTTCACACTACAGAATTAATTTGAAAGGAAAGAAAAATGCCTTTGCTTTAACAGAACCAAGTGGCATTTCCTTGGTTCTTTTTTGGTTATTGAAAGCTTTTAAATGTGCAATTCGTCATTGTTAGAGGTTTCGTTTTGGGGAGGCTAGCATGCTAGTATTAAAGAAACATGAGTTAAAATTGTAATGAAATTATTTTAATTATTGTTTAGGGGATCAGAAAGTACCACAAATTTTTAGATATTAAACCTGTATTTTTAAAAAGTAGCATTTAAGAAAATGGAAATAAGAAATCCGTGGGAAAGAGCCTCTGGTTCTTCTGTCTCAAATTAGGGGACAATACTTTGCTATTTCCTAGTGTTCCACATTCTCTAAAATGGAACTATTTTACAATAGGAGAGCAGTGGCCATAAATTGAACTATACACTGAAAGGGAAGGAATATGACATTTCAGGAGAGAAAAGGCAGATTGTCACCTGAGACTGAGAGAGCAGATACTTACTTGTAAATATACAAAACACGAGGCAGCAGGGTATGGTACAAGAGATGGGCTGGAGCCAAACTGCTGGGGTTTGAATCCCGACTGCCACTCGCCTGGCAGTGTGACCTTGGACAGGTGACTCAGTGTCTGTCTCTGGAGGTGATAATAATACTACACAATTAATGGGTGAGAGTGAGGACTAACTCGGTATTTGTAAAGAACTGAGGGCAGTGGGAGCCATGCTGGACCCAGAGGTATCCATTGAAAAATGAAGACGAGTTTATAACTACAGTTTCTACATAAAATAGAATGTAAGAAGGTTTATTGCACTTGCCAAAGAAGACTCGATCATGGGCCGTGGTTGGTGAAGAAGTGCAAGGGAGTCGTTTTTTGGTGGAGGGGCTGGTGATGGACTTTGACGCAGGCATTCAGTATTATAATTACACATCATAATTTTGTTTTCCTTAACAACTGGTGGTTGCTGCGGCTTCCTTAATTTTTATATTATATGTACTGCATGTATATGCTCCTTAAAATTCTTTTCAAGCATCTGGAATGTCTTTGATAAATCATTCATCTAGCAACCTCGCTGACTCCTTCCACCACTGCCTTCTTCAGCTTTTCTAACAGTGCTGTATACACACAGTAGATAATGGTAACCCACAGTCTGTGACTTTCCCACCCATTGTATTTTATACATTTCTAGTTTCTCAAATAATCTCCTGAATGTTTCTCAGGACATGATGCAATTTTCCAGAACACACAGTTGATTCAGAACTTTATCTTTTCATTTGCAAAAATTATTCATTAGAGCAAGCTATGGTTATTGTGTACTCAAATTGTACTTAAAACATAAAGTTGTAACATAGATTGACATCTTTAGAACTAAATGAAGGCTGCACATCAGAGCACTTCAAAACAGGAAATTAGGGCATGTGCACAGCATAAAGAATTGCAAAAGATTCTACCTCGTCTTACCTCTCTCACTGGAGATATTTACAGAAAAGTAAGTGTTCATTTTGTGTTCATCCAAATATGGCATGCATCTCAAATTTGTTCTCTGTTATATTCTCTGACTAGAAACTTGTGTCAGTTAAATTAGAGTGTCTGCCTAAAACCATAATATCCAAATATCACTCCTTATAATCTATATACTTAGTATGTTGGGGGTGAAAAAGTCATTACACCAAAAAAAGAAAATCGTCCAAACAATGGGGTCACTTTTCAAGGACCATTATGGACGTTATGGAAAAACGTTAATGGAATGGTCATTATGGCACATAAGTCTGTACTTGAAATAGCAGAGCTTGTCAGGATTTGACGGCTTTACTCTTTTCGTCTGGTGGATCCATTCTTATAACCAAACCTTATACTGTCTGAAACCTTATATAGTCTCCTTCCTCTTACTTTCCTTATTTTTCTTTGGTTGAATAATACCAGTAGTAAGATATATAAGTGAAGAGATTTTTAAAGATAACTTTTGGTTATGACCTTTCAGATTTTGGGGTCTTTTTTTGTGGGGGAGGGGGATTCGGGAGTGGGAACAGCCAAGTTGTTCTTTAGTCTTAGTTGTGGAGTGCGCAGCTAAGCTAGCTCAGGTCCAAGTGCAGTCGCCATCTGTCCACCCATCGGCAACACGAGGGGCAACACGAGGCTGCTCAGCCCAAGGTGCCGTGTTCAATCTTAGTTGTAGGTGGGCATAGCCCACCATCCCATGCAGAAGTCAAACCCTGCAACCTCGTTGTTAGGAGCACATGCTATCACCAGCTGAGCCATCCTGCCACCTGTTGGCAGCTCAGCTAGGGTACAGCTCACTGGCCCATGTGAGAATCGAACCGGCAACCCTGTTGCTCAGAGCTTGTGCTCTTTTTTTTTTTTTTTTTTTTT